TGGCATCACAGCTCACAGCAACCTCCAACTCCTGGGCTCAAGCAAGTCTCCTGCCTCTGCCTCCCAAGTAGCTGGGACCACAGGCGCCCGCCACAATGCCAGGCTATTTTTTGGTTGCAGCCATCATTGTTGTTTGGCGAGTTCAGGCTGGATTCGAACCCACCACCTTAGGTGTATGTGACTGGCACCTTAGCCACTTGAGTCACAGGCACCAAGACTAATCCCCTCTTAATATCTTTCCCCCTTCCTCAGAGTTCATGGTCTTTCCAAATGCTGCTCCTGAGACCACTGTAGTGCAATTCTCTGGGGTAGGGACACAACCCTTGGGACATGCTTATACAGCAGTCCCCTGTTATCTGCATTTTCCCTTTTGGAGGTTTCAGTTACCAGAAGACCAAAGACAGGTAAGTACAATACAGTAAGATAATTTGAGAGCAAGAGAGAGACCACATTCACATAACTATTTTTACAGCATATTGTTATAGTTGTTATTATTACAGTAGGACCTCTTTAAATTGACCACCCAAGACAGTGTAACAAACTGGTCAACATTCAGAGATGGTCAGGGGCCAGTGCGGTGGCTCACACCTATAATCCCAGCACTCTTGGAGGCCAAGGCTAGTGGATTGCCTGAGCTCAGGAGTTCAAGACCTGCCTGAGCTCAGGAGTTCAAGACCTGCCTGAGCAAGAGTGATACCCTGTCTCTAAAAATAGCTGGGCATTGTGGTAGGCACCTCTAGTCCCAGCTACTCAGGAGGCTGAGGCAAGAGGATTGCTTAAGCCCAAAACTTTGAGGTTGCTGTGAGCCATGACACCATGGTACTCTACTGAGGGCAAGAAAGTAAGACCGTGTCTCAAAAAAAAAAAAAAAAATCAGAGGTGGTCCACATAAGGAACTAATCTTACTGTACTGACACGTGCATGTGGTGCCTGTCCAGTCTATGAAAATTAAGTCAACTTAAGGAGGTGGTCAATGTAGGGAGGTGGTCAACTAAGGAGGTTCTACTGTAGTTATTATTAATTTCTTACTGTGCCTAATTTAGAAAGGAAACTTTATTATAGCTATATATACTTTCCAGGGGACTTTGTTATTAAAAGATAAAAATAAAGAATAATAAGCTTTATTTCTCAACATAAGCTCCATCAAGATCAAGACACGTTCTTAGGCCATACATGGTGGATCACACCTGTAATTCTAGCACTCTAGGAGGCCCAAGTGGGTGTATTGCCTGAGCTCAGGAGTTAGAGGCCAGCCTGAAAAAGAGTGAGACACCCATTTCTACTAAAAATAGAAAACCTAGGCGGTGCCCATAGCTCAATGGGTAGGGTACTGGCCACATACACAGGGGCTGGCAGGTTCGAACCTGGCCCAAGTCTGCTAAACAACAATGACAACTGCAACAACAACAAAAATACAGCCAGGCATTGTGGTGGGCGCCTGTAGGCCCAGCACTTGGGAGGCTGAGGCAAGAGAATCGCTTAAGCCCAAGAGTTTGAGGTTGCTGTGAGCAGTGACACCACAGCACTCTACCAAGGGTGACATAATAAGACTCTGTCTCAAAAAAAAAAAAAAAAATTTATTTATTTATTTAAAAAAAAAGAACTGGCAGTTGTGTGTACCTCAGCCGGGAAGGACGCGTTGAGGTTGGCAACCCATCAAGGACAGTAACTACCATGGCTTCCAGTGCTTTGGCCAAACCTCAGATGCGTGGCCTCTTGGCCAGGC